GGATGGAAGAAGAAGCATAGCCGGGAATGTTGAGAAGAAGTGATGGAGAAGAAGGCTTATGAGATAAGAAGGAGAGAAGGATGAAGAAGAAAATTCTGATGTAGAAGAAGGATGAGAAAGAACCAAGGAGAAGGATGAGTAAGAAGAGGACAGTTTGTACAGTATCTGTCTATTATCTGAACAGGTCTGGCTGGGACATTACTCCAAATACAGCGGTTGAATCACCATTGTATCGGGATTTTTTTCCATAAATGACATTTTGCAGATACACTTAGAGGAAGCTCTGCAGATACACTTTTTGCCGGACTTGGAATTATTCTTATTTTCATCTACTTTCCTTCTTCTTCTTCTATCATCCTCATTCCTCATCCTTCTTCTTCTTCTTGCTTCTGAGGATGAGGAATGAGGATGAAGAAGTAGTAGAAGAAGAAGTAGGATGAAAATAAGAATTCCAAGCCGGCAAAAAAACATGTTGTATGAGGGCAGAGTTTCCCTCTATTTCTCCTGACAGTTCTCTGACAGCTTCTTCACATGTAACAGCGGTTGAAACATCTGTATCCTAAATGGAAACTAATAGATACACATGTTTCAACCGCACAAAATGTACATGTGTTCCTTTGTCAGAGAACTGTCAGAAATAGCGGTAGCAAAAAAATTTCTGCAGATGGAGACACTTTTGCCGGTGATCGGGAAAAATCCAATTTGCGCACCATTAATTAAGTAGGCAACTAGTTATTCGGATTCGCTCCGCCCATTAATCGAATTTTTTCCTGAAATTCGTATCGAATTCCGGTTCGCCTGGTTCGATTCGCTCATCTCTAAACGTCACAATAAAACAATAAATATTTTAGAGAGAATGAATAAAAAATCTTCACAATGTAGAATCGATGATGTAGAATATAAAGTGGCTCCAAAGTTCACAAATTAATGTTTTTGTTCTTCTAAATCCTATTTTTCAGTGAAGCCGCCATGACTCTGCGTGACAGTATAATGTCTCATTTCTATTACAATTCTGTACAGAATATTTATTGGTATAACATTTACAATCCATGAATGACATTTTATTTGTTTTCATTGTGTAAATGATCCTCTGTCCAGTCCCGTGTCCAGTGTCTTCTTCCAGTACGACGTCCTCCTGAATCCTCACGACATTATCGCTCCTCTCTTTTTGAATTATTTGCTTCCGATGGCAAATCAATATATTTTCAGTCTGAATTCATTCTTCTTGGCCGGTCAGACCTCAGATATTCTCAGATCCCGTTATTTCTGATGATCCTCCTCATCAATGTGGTCACAATGGTTGGGATTCTTCTCATCATTTCAATGATGATCTCACAGTCCCACCCCACACACCCCCATGTACTTATTCCTGGGAAATCGTTCAGCTTTAGATGAGAATAACAGAATGGATCCAATGTTTTGCTGGAGGTCCAGAGCCATCAGATGAAGATGTTCTGTGAATGAAGCTCACCCAGATATAGCATTCCATGAATAAATGTAATGTCATTAAAAGAGCCCCAAAATACGACCTCCATAGAAGAGATGAGGGGGGTGAATGATCACACTACAACCTGGAGGAATGGAGGCTGTTCACTTCTCGAGCACTGAAATCTTCCCTTTTATTGATGATCGGATGAAATCTTCACACGGCCAATCTGCCTGTCTATAGGACATCACACAATTCATGAATCCAGACAATGGGAATCATGAATAATGGGATTTCTCTATAGAGGAGACCATTCTTGATTCATATCTAAAGGAGTTCAGAGAATTCACAAATTCCAATTCACCGACTGTTAGGTACCCAGATACTGGAACCCAACATATTAGAATAATACTCGGGGGGGGGGGGGATTTATATTACACAACCAATCTCATCTCTCCCTGTATTGTCATTGCTGTGTCTTCACCAGAATGGTGTCTGTTGTCCAAACTACATCCAATGATAATCAATGTATTTACCAATAAATCAATCAATGAATCAATCATACATTTTATATTGGAAGTCAGCTTCTTTATTACTGAATGTAAGATATACAGAGAATCTGGTGTGAGTACTAATAGGGGGGCTGGCCATTACCAGCTCCTTGGTACAGAGACTGATGTGACTGTGGGGGAGGGGGACATTAGAGTGTAAGCTCCTCTGGTACAGAGACTGATGTGACTGTGGGGGAGGGGGAACATTAGAGTGTAAGCTCTTCTACATGGTACAGAGAGACTGATGTGACTGTGGGGGAGGGGACATTAGAGTGTAAGCTCCTCTGGTACAGAGACTGATGGGACTGTGGGGGAGGGGGCATTAGAGCGTAAGATCTTCTGGATGCAGAGACTGATGTGACAGTGGGGGGAGGGAACATTAGAGTTTAGTGTAAGCTCCTCTGGTTACAGAGACTGATGGGACTGTGGGGGAGGGCCCCAACAGTATAGATTGTAAAAGCTCCTCTGGATACAGAGACTGTTAGATGGGACTGTTGGGGGAGGGGACAAAATTAGAGTGTAAGCTCCTCTGGTACAGAGACATGATGTGATTGTGGGGGAGGGGACATTAGAGTGTAAGCTCCTCTGGTACATATAGAGACTGATGTGACTGGCTCAGTGTTCTCTCTAGTACAGCACTGCGGTATATGTCAGAGCTATAGATACGTAAAATAAATATATATTAGGACCTTACTGTTAAATTTATTCGATCATAAATGATTCCAATATATAAATCCTTCCCTCTTATTACAGAACGATCTTACTGGGTGAAAGGTATCATGTGATACATCTGGAGCTGATTAATAGGAACCATAGACCTGTTTTAAAAAAAAGAAGATATGTATGGCTTTTTGTTTTTTTTTTTTTTAAAAAATCATACTTACTCAGGTGGAAGCTGCCATCAGTCAAAACACCACTCATGATCAGTCCACGGGCTCTCTTATGCTCTGCCCCTCTCCCAGCTCTCACTGGAGCACCCAGCTGTGGAGTGGGAGAGGGGGGTGGCTGGCTCAAGATCTCAGCAGTGCACTAAAAGGCATCTCGGTGGAATCCTCGACTTTAAAGTCGGGATCTCCCCAGCCTGGACTGTCCCTGAGTGACAACAGATGACTGCTGATTTTAAGAGCCCGCAATTGGCTGAAAACAGGTCACAGGAGTGCAGAATGAGCTGCACTCCTGTGATAGAAGTAGAGCCAATCAAGCTTTAGTGATAAGTATTTTCTCCTTTATTGATTACAGGATCTGATCAACATGACATTTTCTGATAGGATTGAACAACAATTTTCAAGCTGTAGATTGGTTGGGGTAGAATATATGAAGGGCTCCGTAGTTCACAGAAATAAATGTTGATTTGTAATACTTTGTACAGAGAGAGTAGGGGTGACACTGACTTTCATGTTCGTATTTTTAGATTCCATACAGAACATTAACATTCATCTAACATGTAAAAATCCATGATATACTGTATGTCTATAAATGTATGAGAAGTGCCAAACAAGGGGCTGCCGCCTATAAATCATTCCTTTTCACAAATAGCCATACATTATACATATGAATGAGGGTGGAGCTTTTTCCTTTACATCAGGATCATCCAATTAAAGTAAAGAATGATCACTCGGGTATGATTGGGTTGCCATCTACATGATCTAATGTCCATGTGACCTTTGTTATGTGGGTGAGACAAGACGCAGACAGGGGCGGACTGACCATTTGCAAACTCGGGCACTGCCCGAGGGCCCGGGGTCAATAGGGGTCCCATGAGATTGCCCCTGGTACCTTTTTCATTGGCTTTTTTGAGTTTGGGGCAAGGACACAGGGGCCCCCCCCCCCCCCCCATCCCTTATTTCCCGGGGCCCCATGAATTGTCAGTCCGCCCATGGACGCAGATACCATATTTCTCCTATCGATTCTATTCCCACAACAAAGAGTGGGAATTGCTTCTAAAATATTAGAAAGGGGTCTTCTGGATCCACCAACCAAATCCCTGATATCCATTTAGTTTGAATTGTCAATTGGATTGGTTCTTATTTTCCTGACATATTTGTTTGTATGATTAATTGCTGGCTCTTCATATATGGTCATCTGTGATTTTTGTGTAATGTTTTGTAGGTTGGTGTATAAAATCCCTGGAAGTCTTTGGTAATGAAGGTGGGAGTATTGCAGAGCCGTCAGCACTCAGCTTTCTCTTTTTTTGTTTCTACTCATTGTTAATGTGTTTCTCCAGACTTGTATCCATGAATGACGGAATAGACTGAAACATGTTATTCCCGCTCTAAACTAGAATACATTCACTGTTTTTGATTGTTATAGTGGATCTCTTTATTGGTCTGACAGAGGGTATTGTTGCCTGAAGACGTCACCATTATTTATTGCTATTTTTTTTGAACTTATTTTAACTCTTTCTTTGCTGCAAACTCCTCGTTTGGACTTTCTGCTACATATTGAGCCCGGGTGGCAGGACTCTGGTTGCTGGATTCATCCTATTTAGTAGCTGCTGTTCACCTTTTCCTCTACATGTCCTCCTGAATCCTCGCATTATCGCTCTGAGTCCACAATACTTACAGGGATGTCCTATGATCGCTATGTTGCCATCTGTCATCCTCTGCATTATACAACCATGATGAGCATTCACCTGTGTGCTCAGGTGGCAGTGGTTTTCTGGATCGGTAGATTTGCCTTTACCTTGTTGCACACACTTTGTGTTCTAATACTGACCTTTCCTGACCCCACCACCATCCCGGGCTTCTTCTGTGAATTGTATCAGGTGATTGAACTCTCATCTTCTGACACTTTCCTCAATTACTTACTTATATATTTTGAGGCTGCCAGTTTTGGAGCCCCTAGCTTTTTCGTTACTTTCCTTTCCTATGTCTACATTTTCAAAACCGTCCTAAAAATTAAAATGAAGGATGGAAGACGGAAAGCTTACTCCACTTGTAGTTCTCACCTCACGGTGGTCTTCATCTTTTATGGGGCTGTTTTTTCCAACTACCTTCTGCCCAAACCTATGGATTCTCTGTCAGGTAGATTGCTGTCTTTATTTTACACAGTTGTCACCCCTCTCCTAAACCCGATTATATACAGCCTGAGAAACACTGACCTCAAAAGAGCTCTTCAGAAAGCTCTATCGGGAAAGGGCTTCATACCATGAACTGTCAATGATGGAGAACCACTTCAATACCGAGCAATTTTACCCCCTTCCCGCCCAGGCCAATTTTCAGCTTTCAGCACTCTTGCAACACTGTACCCAAATTAAATTTTTTTCATACAAATAAAGCTTCCTTTTGGTAGTATATAATCACCACTTGGTTTTCTATGTCTTGTGCTATAAACACGTTTTTCTTAGTTTAATAATAAATTCACAACCTGCCGATCTCCTCCACTCTTCCGACCACTCCATCCCCCACAGTTATCTCCTCCTGTGCCACCATCCCCTCCCTCCTAGATTGTAAGCTGGAAAAAGCAGGGCCCTCAATCCCCTCATGTTTTGCATTGTATTGGTATTGTTCTGTCACATGTTCTGTCCCCTCTGTAATGTACAGCGCTGAGCGAACTATCGGCACTTTATAAATACTGTATAATAATAATAATAATAATTTTTTTCACGTTATTTCTCACATAGGCATACTTGCAACTATACTCTAAAACACATTCTGCTACTCCTCCTGAGTATGGCAATACCACATGTGTGAGATTTTTTTCACAGCCTAGCCACATAGAGAGGGTCAACATCCAAGGAGTACCTTCAGGCATTACTCACTTCAAGACCAGGACTTCTTCTGACACTTTTGGTTTACAAGTAAAAATCATTATTTTTGCTAGGAAATTATTTAGAATCTCCAAACATCATAAAGAATAAAAATGGTGGGATTTACAATTTTTTATGTCACGCATCAGTTTTTCGAACACAATTTTTATGGGAAAAATACACTTTAATTAATTTTAATGCACACAAACACAATATAATACAAATTGTTTTGAAAAAAATAAAATAATACAGTCAGGTCCATAAATATTGGGACATCGACACAATTCTAACATTTTTGGCTCTATACACACACCACAATGGATTTGAAATGAAAAGAACAAGATGCGCTTTAACTGCAGACTGTCAGCTTTAATTTGAGGGTATTTACATCCAAATCAGGTGAACGGTGTAGGAATTACAACAGTTTGCATATGTTCCTCCCACTTGTTAAGGGACCAAAAGTAATGGGACAATTGGCTTCTCAGCTGTTCCATGGCCAGGTGTGTGTTATTCCCTCATTATCCCAATTACAATGAGCAGATAAAAGGTCCAGAGTTCATTTCAAGTGTGCTATTTGTATTTGGAATCTGTTGCTGTCAACTCTCAAGATGAGATCCAAAGAGCTGTCACTATCAGTGAAGCCATCATTAGGCTGAAAAAACAAAACAAACCCATCAGAGAGATAGCAAAAACATTAGGCGTGGCCAAAACAACTGTTTGGAACATTCTTAAAAAGAAGGAACGCACCGGTGAGCTCAGCAACACCAAAAGACCCGGAAGACCACGGAAAACAACTGTGGTGGATGAGCGAAGAATTCTTTCCCTGGTGAAGAAAACACCCTTCACAACAGTTGGCCAGATCAAGAACACTCTCCAGGAGGTAGGTGTATGTGTGTCAAAGTTAACAATCAAGAGAAGACTTCACCAGAGTGAATACAGAGGGTTCACCACAAGATGGAAACCATTGGTGAGCCTCAAAAACAGGAAGGCCAGATTAGAGTTTGCCAAACGACATGTAAAAAAGCCTTCACAGTTCTGGAACAACATCCTATGGAGAGATGAGACCGACATCAACTTGTACCAGAGTGATGGGAAGAGAAGAGGATGGAGAAGGAAAGGAAACTGCTCATGGTCCTAAGCATACCACCTCATCAGTGATCATGGTGGTGGTAGTGTCATGGCGTGGGCATGTATGGCTGCCAATGGAACTGCTTCTCTTGTATTTATTGATGATGTGACTGCTGACAGAAGCAGCCGGATGAATTCTGAAGTGTTTCGGGAATATTATCGGCTCATATTCAGCCAAATGCTTCACAACTCATTGGACGCTTCACAGTGCAGATGGACAATGACCCAAAGCAGACTGCAAAAGCAACCAAAGAGTTTTTTAAGGGAAAGAAGTGGAATGTTCTGCAATGGCCAAGTCCATCACCTGACCTGAATCCGATTGAGCATTTCACTTGCTGAAGACAAAACTGAAGGGAAAATGCCCCAAGAACAAGCAGGAACTGAAGACAGTTGCAGTAAAGGCCTGGCAGAGCATCACCAGGGATGACACCCAGCGTCTGGTGATGTCTATGCGTTCCACACTTCAGGCTGTAATTGACTGCAAAGGATTTGCAACCAAGTATTAAAAAGTGAAAGTTTGATTTATGATGATTATTCTGTCCCATTACTTTTGGTCCCTTAATAAGTGGGAGACACATATGCAAACTGTTGTAATTCCTACTCCGTTCACCTGATTTGGATGTAAATACCCTCAAATTAAAGCTGACAGTCTGCAGTTAAAGCACATCTTGTTCGTTTCATTTCAAATCCATTGTGGTGGTGTATAGAGCCAAAAATGTTAGAATTGTGTCCATGTCCCAATATTTATGGACCTGACTGTATATAGAATAATTAGATACCAAACAAGTTAAGCTTTTAAATTGAGCAAGCTTGTGGAATGGAGCCAAACTACGGGATTTAGAAATCTCCAAAGGTGTTGCCTTATAAACCTTTACAAGTTACCAGTTAATAGCTACAGAGGCGGCCTAGGGCTTGGTATATTGCTCTCGGTTTGGCGTTTGTGGCAATACCACACATGTAAGGTGCATTTGCTGTTTATGTATGTGAACATGGGAGTACAGGAGCAACACATGTGTTCACCTTTGCATGGAGCCACGAGGGGGGGGGGGGGGGTTTTCATTTTTATTTATTTATTTTTGTTCCAGAAGACAAGTGACACTATGACGTTTCAGTCAAACGAGACCTCACTCATAGTTAGTTACTTGTAGTGCAGCCCCCATTATAAAGTGCCCTATCCCTCCCTTAAAGGCCAATCATTGAAGATAGCCATCATCTGTTTCATCCAATGTAAAAGTGATCACCAGTAACCGATGCATGTGCTTAGTCAATGAGACCTACATATCTGACACATTATACAAAATACACCAAAAGCAAAACAATATAAAATAGCAGCCATAAAAAAAACTTTCATTAGAAAAAATGTCAATGACGGGAGGAAAGATAATACACGGGACAATGAATATCAACGTAGATGCATGTCCAGATCCCATCTAAGGTGTAACCCCCGAGGTAATCTAGTTTGTAATCTATGTATCCATCTTGCCTCCTTCTGTAATAATATGTGATGCTTATCACCCCCTCGAGGGAGGGTTGTCACTCTATCAAAGCAACAAAATCTAAACAAAGTAGTGTCACCAGCATGAAAATCTCTAAACTGTCGGGATACACTAGAAATCTGTTCTGCTTGAAAATTGCTTGAATCACAAAAGTGTTCTCCAATAGGTATTCTCGAAGGACGTATTGTACAGCCAACATATTGGAAGCGACAACTCGTACAGTGAATACGGTGCACCACATAAGTAGTGTTGCCGTTTACATCATGTAACATTTTATAGCTCTCTCCTGTAGTTAAAGAGTCAGACATTTTAGTGCCCGGGTTCAATGGACGATATTTGCGAGTCTTCTACCCACAAGCCTATGAGCCTGTGCAGGACAACCAAGTGGATGTAGTATTCTTGGAGGGAAAAGACTTGGGGAAAGTAATGAACCGAATGTGGGTGCTCTTCTGCAAGAAGATCTACAGCCTTGGTTTAACACTGGAAGCAGATCTGGATCTACATATAAGATCGGAAGATTCTTTGTATTAATATCTGTTATCTGTTTATAGTCTTGGGAAAAAGTTGTAAGAAAAGTGATTTTATTACATTGTAATCTTCTGTCCTTACTGTTACATCTATGATGTCTATTGTTACCTAAGAGGTGGTCACCATCTCTTGCCTCTGCAATACGCCTGCCCCTTTCAATGCTCCAAAATGGAAAACCTCTTTCCTGTGGTACAACAGTCCTTCCTGAACATTTCATCTGTAGAACAATTTCTCCGGGATCTGATCAATTCTCCTACCGGTATGGCCTTAATAGTATGCAAAGGATGACAACTTCTGGCATGGAAAGTCGTATTACCGGCACAGAATTTATGAAAAGTTGTGGAAGCTATCTCGCCTGTCTGCAGGTTGCTAGTCAAAGTGGTGTCCAAAAAATCTATAGTTTTTATATTGTGATCATATAGTGGATATAAAAAGTCTACACGCCCCTGTTAAAATGTCAGGTTTCTGTGATGTAAGTGAGACAAAGTTAAATCATTTCAGAACTTTTTCCACCTCTAATGTGACCTATAAATTGCGCAACTCAATTGAAAAGCAAACTGAAATCTTTTAGGGGCGGAGTAAACATAAAAAAATAAAATAATAATGCTGTTGCAGAAGTGTGCACACCCTCTTATAACTGGGGATGTTGCTGTGTTCAGAATGAAGCAATCACATCCAAAACATGTTAAATAGGAGTCAGTACACACCCGCCATCATTTAAACCGCCTCTGATTAACCCCAAATAAAGTTCAGCTGTGTTCTAGTCGCTCTTTCCTGACATTTTCTTAGTCGCATCCTACAGCAAAAGCCATGGTCTGCAGAGAGCTTCCAAAGCATCAGAGGGATCTCATTGTTAAAAGGTATCAGTCAGGAGAAGGGTACAAAAGAATTTAAAAGGCATTAGATATCCCATGGAACACAGTGAAGACAGTCATCATTAAGTGGAGAAAATATGGTACAACAGTGACATCCCCAAGAACTGGATGTCCCTCCAAAATTCATGAAATACAAGAAGAAAACTGGTCTGGGAGGCTTCCAAGAGGCCTACAGCTACATTAAAAGAGCTACAGGAATATCTGGCAAGTCCTGGCTGTGTGGTCCATGTGACAACAATCTCCCGAATCCTTCATATGTCTGGCCTATGGGGTAGAGTGACAAGATGGAAGCCTTTTCTTACAAAGAAAAACATCCAAGCCCAGATAAATTTTGCAAAAACACATCTGAAGTCTCCCAGAAACATGGGAAAATGTG